CATAAAATTTGGATAATCCTTGTGAATATCCATTTGCTTTCAGTCACTTGAACTGCGGAAGAGGACCAATGTCGGAAACATGTTTTTGTAACACTGGTATTTCTATGTCTTCCTCAGGTAAACAATTTTGTTAACACAGGACTATTGATTGCTTGACTCGTTAAACACAAAGTTATTATTATATATTTTTTTTCCAATTCTGAAATTTTTTTGTTTTATAGCGTGCAACAACAAATGCACAGTACCAAACATTTCGCAAATCCAAATATGCTGAAAAACACTGCAAGTTCAATTTGAAAAAAGCAGACTTTTTACGCAAATTTCCCATACATTTCCTTCTAATTTTTGATTTGTAGTGTGCAATTGTGTTTGCACAGTATAAAACATTTCGCCAACTGAAATATGTTGAAAAACACTGCAAGTTCAATTTAAAATGTGTCGACTTTTACTGCAAGTTATTTTTTTAAGTGTGAAAAAAGTAAATTAGTTCCAGTTTATGGCTTGAGACATCGAACACCAAGATATTATTATATTTTGGAATGATGCCTCTTTGGTTTTTCACTCAAGTCTGGTAACCCTTGGAAAAATTCGATGTCATTTCCTAGTGTTTGTTTCATTGCATCATACCTTGGTTGCCATTGATTATAAAACCAGTAAATCTGTGTAGATTTCACACTTGAGTACTTGATACAATTCTTGGTTAATACTTGTTACATAAAGTAAGTTTTCCCCACATTACGTTAACCTCACCATAAGCATAAGCATGGGAAGCATGGGAAACATGTGATTAAACTCTGGGTAAGGCTTTATCTTTAAAACATCTCGTTTTCTGTGGTTTAGTTGCTTTTCGCTGTTTTGGTTTCCATTTATAGTATCAGGTTAATGTGGGATTGATATGCCTCAGATCATCAGATTACACAAATAACTGCACCTTTTAAAACTGTAAGTAAAAAAAACTTAATGTATATGTGTGAAAAACACTGCAACTTACAAATGTGATGGGATAGTTAAAAAATTTAAAAACTTTTCATCATCCTATACCGGCCTATACCGGCCTACATCGTCCTATACCGGCCTATAAATAGAAATCAAACACTTATGCAACTAAAAATCCTATGTGTGAAAAAGTCTACAACTTAAATTGTCATGTGTAGTAAAAGTTTGCAACTAACAATGTGCCATCCAAAGGTCCAAGGCCCCTAAGAAAAAAAATTTAAGGTCCCAAGGCCCCTACAAGGCCCCTCAGACCACCAAGGCCCCGGGGGCCTTAAAGGCCCCTAAAATTATCAAGGTCCCTGGGACCTTATAAAGTCCCTCATAATTCTAATTGGAACTTCCACTCAAGTTTAATATATAGATTTAGCCAGGGCTAAAAGCGAAGCTCCCCTTAATAAATTCATAATTTAAATCAAACAATAAACTTGTAATCCACAGATCAGGGCACATTCGTTTGACTTTTGAGGCAAAGGCTGAGTGATTTTAGAGAAAAATCAGAATTCGACCGTTCAAGAGTGAAACAAATTTTACATCAAGTTATTTGTACACCGAAAAATAGCAATCATGTTCGATCACAGTAGATTAGGCCTGGAAAACAAATAGACCTATTGGTGTATTGTATTTGCATTAGCTGTAGCATCATAATATGGCATTCACCAGTCTCTCCAACATTGCTCCGTTAGACTGACTATGGATAATTGGACAACCCCGAAATATAATTTTAAGAAACACATGCGCCACGATAGTTCTTGATGGCAGCCAATTTACACGTTGCATTCCTCTGTCTAAAAGAAACGCCAAAATAAAAATCAGGCCGGATTTTTTGTGTTCGACAAGTTTAGTTTACTAGTAAATCTTGGCGACGAATCTGGTGGCGTGTAAACCAGCCTTTTAAACATACTTTTTCTCATCACTTCTCAGGTAAACAGTACACAGACCTCGGACAGAATTTGTTCTTTTTTGCCCTATTTAAACTTATAATTCTGCAGTTTTTCACAATTTTGCAAGAGAATTTGCACTCATTCAATATCCACGACGATCAAAGCACGCGCTTCCTTTGCACAACAAATTATAGCATTAAATTATAAAACGTTTTCGGTTAGAAAAATCTGGTCCTATGTGATATGCGGGGTAATAATTATGGGCTTTTAATGAAAACGATAAAAAAATCCCCAAAATCACTTTTCGGCCAGTCGGACGGGTTCTCACTTTTGACAGGCACCAAATTTGCAGTGCGATTAATAGAGTTACCATTTACGCTTCAACATGATAGAGAAATTGTTATGTTTAGGTTTTATTTCCCTTTATTCATTAAACTGTGTGTGATTTTGTTGTGTAATCTTGATAGGCGAGTGATATTTACGCGCGGCGTTTTGAATATTCCTACATGCGATGTTTATGTTCGACTGGAAACAACCGGTGCAGCGATGAAAATTGCGAGAGGGACTACTAACAATCAATAAAATAAGTTTAATTCGGTGAAACATGTACAGAGACAATAATTTTCATTCACGAAGAGAAGTATTGAGAGGAAAGTGTCTCAGAAAATCATGAGTCAGGCAAGCATAAGCTTATTTATGTTTTAAGCCGGCTTCCCAGCGTTCGCTCTTTTTCAAGATGAACTCGAGGCAAGAAAATCGCTCAGAGCTTTCTGTTTACAGCCAAAATCATAATTAAATAATCTTCGGAACCTTTTCTTTGAATTTGCGGGTCAAAAAATGTCTAAAGGCTTTTTAAACCTGATACTATTGTAGGTTAGATCATTGCTCGTGTTTTAACTTAAGCCGCATAATATAAACCATACGCTCGACTTCAGGAAACCGAAAAAAAAAACATCAAAAACAATAATGGCTCAAGCTTACCAGTCGAGATGCTGCTTCTGAAGGTCATCAAGAGTTCCAAAATCGCTCAAGACTTTTCAACGTTCTTACGCCTCAAGCAAGGGCAAGTGAGTAAGCTCATTTTTGAAAACGATGCCATCCGAAATCGGATTTCCAATGACTTTGACAAGCGGTCCATTTGTCAACAAAAAGCGCAATAAACAAACCAGCCACGAATTACAGAACAATCTTGATAGCAGCTGTATTTCATTTTGTACACCAAGTAGAAAAAGACAGTTTAAAACATCACCAGATGACACAAAACTCTCTCAGCTCCAGCTATCAGTAAGCAAGTTTCCAGACGCTGCAAAAATTTTTCGCATTAACTCACCTGTCAAATTTTGACCAATCAGAATATAAAAATTGGACGTAGAGCGTGATCAACGCGTGACAGTGAGAAAAGTCCGAAGCGATTGCCTTCCGTGCATGTAAATGTAAAAGCCGGTTGAATCTTCGTGTCCGAGATCAGTTCGAAATCAACATTTTAAAAGTGCGGCTCATGAAACACGACTTATTTCATATGCATTTTAAAAAAATTGAACTTGAGCCTGCGATCATTTGAAAAGTAGCAACTTGTCAGCGAATACCTTCAAAATACTACTCGAACTCAGAGGGTTGATACCTGAGCCCGCGATACGGTCAGGCGATACTGGTCAGCAGAAACACTGTTTTGACAGCTGTCAATTAATCAAAACATGAATGCACAATATCAAGTTGCAGGCTCCCAAACTAGCTAGAAAGTGTGAGATTAAACATTGGTATGCCTGTGGTGTGGACGGAGGGAGTGTCGGGTGGTCGGTGTACGGTCACGTGATTGCCGAATTTTCTAGGATGGATAGATTTTCTATAAAGCTATGGGGCTTCGAATTGAGCCCGTGATCAAATAAAGTATCAGCACAAAACTTTAAACACTACGTGACCTCAATAGATAGAAAAATGAGCCCGCGATCCACTCAGGTGATGATGGTCAGCGTATACTCTAGTTTGAGAGCTGTCAATTAACCTTCATTAGAATGGCGAATATTCGAATTAACAGACTACGAGTGTGAGTAGGACATTTCCGTCTGGCATGTAGTGGAAAATGCCAGATCGTGTACCTGAGCGAACCTGAGCCCTCGTTATTACTCTTCTGATAGCGGTCTGCACATGTCCTATTTTGACAGCTGTCAATTGACCTTAATTTGGCCTGCCAATGTAACTTTAAACGACTGTCAGCCAACTGACAGCCTTGCCCGGCGTAGTTTCGTTTTTATGTTGAATTGGTAAGTGTGACATATTATATCAGCTTATATATAGGAGCAAAACGACTGGTCTTTTATCTGAGCCCGCGAGACGGTCATGTGATAACTGTCAGCGGATGTCTGATTTTGACAGCTGTCAATCTAATCGTACTCATACGGATGGCTTACATAACTAAGAAGCTAGTCAAGTTGTGCAAGATCTATTTTGACATTTGACATCGGCTTACATGAAGTGTGTGTACGGACGGGCGTACGCTACGTCATAACCAAATTTTCTGGGATGGATGGTTTACCAAATTTTCTTACCCATGGTGCTCCGCTGCGCGCGCGCTTCGCGCGCGCGGGAGCTCCGCTATAACTAAAACATGTTTTTATTCTAAGTAAACCTTCATTACATTGAAGTTCGCGTTGATAAGCTAAAAAAGCATGCAAAAGTTTTTTTTTGTTAAAGGTTTGCGCTTGCAAGCTACTGTAAAAAAGCATGTAAAAAATGTCCAAAGTCCTTTAAAAATATCTATTTCCAAAAAGAAGCGAGATTAGCATGAAACTCATTACTTGTTGGAGGAGCTAACGGTAAGTCTATACTAGACTGATTTCCATGAGATTCCATGATGGTGTCTAGTACTTTTGAAAGACTTGTGTGGTTGGTATTTGTTAATGATAATGCTCTCATGGAGTTAGCTAGTTCCTTCTCAGATGATTCAGCTGCTTTGGATGGTCTTATAATTCCATTTTGATAATGGCCATGAGCCCTCGTGGTATATCCGTCCTCGAGGATATACCGCTTGTCGTCAAATGGTGACAAAGACTTCTTTGTCTGCTTCACAGTAAACAGCTGATGCTGCTTACTGCGAAAATTCATCATCGAATGTTGAAATTCTCTTTTCTCCATTAGGCAATCTTTAAAATCTTGATGTCTTATTTCTTTTTTTAAGACAGATTTCTTGATCCCTTTCCCTGTTTTCTTCTCTTTTCCATCATCGGTCATCATAGAATACATTTTCGCTCTTAATCCAATCCACTCAACAATAGGGAGCCCACCCGTCTCATCTTTAAATTTTCCGATGACTTTCTTGTTGACTTCACTGAACAGAAAATGATCTTTAGAGTAATTGCTTGTGTCATATAAGTGCTGGTCTTCTTTCATGTCTTGATATAGATCTTCTGCGGTGATGTGATATGTTAAGCTATCTGTGTCGGTAAACAACAGTTTGGCTCTCTCAGGACCATATTTCTCCATCATATGGTTGTAGTGGAAATCATACATATGGAGTTTGGACAACTCCAACACAGTAAAGCCTGTGTAAATGGGTTTATCCAATTTGATAGAGGTACGTTTTGCTTCCAATCCAACAAAGTACTCTTCTTTCTCCTCATCATTCACGAAGACAACACTTCTTTTGTAGGTGACTTTTGCTGTATGTTTCTTAAACATTGCTGGTTCTGTGATTAATTTAATGTTAATTCTCCTTCTCACGTCTTCCATTGTTTTTCCGAATACGCTGTTGTTTAAAAGTTTAAAAAAATCTTTCTCGAAGTCATTCTTAGCTGCTGCTCTGAGTTGAGTGTTGTGTTGAATGTAGGACTTAAGCCAGGCTTCCTGTTTAAACTGGAGCACACGATGGATCTTCTGCAATTTGAGACCTTGCGCGAGATAGAACTTGAGATAACGATAATGGATGATATACTTTTCTTTATTCCAGAGATTGGGGACAAGTTTTTCAACTCTTGCTGGCTTATACCCCAGATCTTCTTTCAATTGCTGCTGGTAAGGAGATAACATCTCATGAGAAATCAACATTTTTTCTGGAGCCAGTGGGTAATCTGAGTGTAAATCATGAAGCTCTTTTGGGTATTCCAAATCGACTTCTAAAAAGTAACCAGTGTCAGCGTCATCCTGAACAGTAATCACATTAAAGCTTTTTACATCTTTCTCCTCAACCCACTTAAAATCACTCACAGGAAGAGATTGTGTCATAGCTTCTCCATAAAGGTTGTTCGAGTCTTGATAGGTAATGAAGCTAGTTGGTTTTTCTGGATCATACTCTTGTAGGTACTTGTTGTTCGCTTGAGCATATCGATGACTAATCATAGAAATACCACCTCGCATCCCTCGCTCTAAGAATTGATGCATTTCAATATCATGTAGGGTTTCCAGCTTGACTTTGGTGAACTTCAAAGCTGCATCCCATGAAAACCCTGGCACAGTGTAATAGTGCGCTGGATCCAATTGGTAATTCTTGAGACATACCTGACGAAACTGCTCGAAGATATCCGCTAGCAGGAAGATGTCTTGATACAGGTAGAGGTCATGGTATTCCCCCATCGATTGACAGCCCATAGTTGTCCAAACTCTTTGTGCAAACTCATACTTTTCATCAGAGATGTCTTCTCCAGTGAGGTCATTCTTGAAAGCTTCTTTTGGGGGTAATCTGGTTTCTTCAAAGACTTCAAAATTCTTGATGTGTGAATAAGGGTAGACACCTTTTTGACAGAGTAAATTCACATCATTGAGATCGCCAAGGGACCAGACTTTCTCGAATTGTTCTTTGAGGTGTGGAAATTCTGTTAGATTTGCAGCCAGTACATCTAAACTGGCTCCTGGACCTAAGAATTGAAGAGAATCCAAAAACCTCAAGTTTCCTAGCTGAAAGGAAACGTACTTTTCCATATTGTTGGGGATGACTCTGATAGATTTCTTCCCAGCACAGCGATGGATTCCCTGCATAATGAGGTGGGAATCATAGCCGCGTAAATTATGAAAGAACACAGGAATGTGTGTTGTACGCCGCTTGTTCAGATTACATGAAAAATGCGCCGCTCCGCGGTACTCTCCTGTAGCGTGATTGTGATCACGTACTTTACACCAATTTTCTTCTTTCTCATAGAAGAGCTCTTCACACATGTAACAATGGGTAGCAGCTTGGAATTCTGCTTCTTGCTCTTCCGTCATTACCATGGGTTTGACTTCCAGCTGATACGGGAGTACTTCTTTTTCAATCTGCTGGAGACTTTCCATCAGTTGATCTACCACTAGTTGACTTGACTCTTCTAAAGTCATCTCTGGATTCGGTGAAGGGCGATATAAAAAACTTCGTGATTCTACCTCTGGGTGATTGGAGATTAAGACCCATGCTACGCTGCAGGGGACGTGTTTTTGCACTTTCACTGTCTTGTCATTGACGTCTCCTTCGTCACATTCTTGGAGAAGGCATTCAAAATCCCCATAAATACGGAAGAGACTTTCTTCGGTCTTTGCCCAGTTTTTAAATGAAATTTCTTCATCAGCCACTTGAACAGCTTGAATGGGGATATGACGGCAAATTTCCATATGTTTCCTTAATAAATCAGGACTGATAAAGCCCTGAAAACAGCGTTCACAGAAATAGGTTTGACTATGATGAGACTTGGTTCTAGAGAGAAGTCGGTTTAGATTCTTCACCCAGGCATAGTGGTATTGTTCTTCTCGCTCCCAGTAGAGTAGAACTACATGCTTTTCCAGCTGCTGATCTGGTACTCTAAGAGGCAGCATGATCGAGGGTAAGACAACTCCCTTTTTGCTTCTCTCTGGTTTATCGATACCAATGACAGTGACACTAATCCCAGGATTCTGCTTTTCAAACTTAGGAATTTGATCAATGGTGAGAGGAAAGTTGATCCCATCAAAAATGAGTTCGTCTTTATACTCATGGTACTTACTCACTCGCTCTGCATTCTTTAAAGTTGGATGGAGGGCTGCCAAAACCGACCATTTAAAACATTCTTGATCTTGATTTTTCACATTAACAATAGCTTTGGTATCATACATATCTTTCGGGAGTTCTATGTAGGAGCTCCCTCCTAAGGGTTGGTAATCCACCATTTCTAATACCACTGCGTGATTTCTTGAGAGGATCCACCCAGAACCTGCCTGCATGAATGTTGCCATTCGCTCTTCTACGGTTTCCATGGCCATATTGAGTTGCTCTCTGAGCTGTTGTGGGTAGGTGCTAATGAGTGGGTTAGGTGTGCGAAAATATCCCTCATACTTCAATGGCTCTGTTCGATATTTATCTGGCATGGTGAGTGTACAATGATACATCAAATTCCATTTGATACCTTTCTTTTCTTTGAGGACTTTCTGTAGATGTCTTTCCAGTCTTGGTAGCGTTTCTTTAAAAAAGACTTGCTGATCCATAAGCTGTGTTTCTGTCTTAGGATGAAAAAAAGCATCCACTTTAGCACCTTTCATTGAAGAGACTTCCTTATCAGCAGGTGAAACGCCGTCAACTTTCTCTGGTAGTTTGATTTTCTTGACTTCCTTCTCATTTTCTTCCTCTGATTTTCGTTTGATGTTACCTCCTAATGGCGATAGGTGGGCATGTTGCTTGTGATGTTCCAGGGTAGATTTACGAGAAAAACATTTTCCACAGTTAGCAAAGGTGCACTTGAAGGGTTTCTATCCCACAATGCTCTTGATGGAGATGGAAAGCCATTTCATAGCTAAATGTTTTCTGGCAATTCTCACAGCAGAAGCTGACCGCTGGCTTTGGATGTTTCTTCTTAAGATGTTGCTTGAGATTATCCTTTCTAGTAAAAGTCTTAGGACAAAATGGACAGCTCACTTGGTGCTCTGTTGTTCCACAGCGCTTAACATGACGATGGAAATGAGTCGAGTGCTTGATGAGAACACCACACTTGGGACACTTTTTAAAAGCCATGATTGATGAAAACTCGAAGATGTGAACTCGGAGATGTGTACTCGTCAGTGATCTGAAATCGAATGAAGGGTCCTATTAGATTGCTGCTTATATACTTTTATTTAAAAACCGGTTTTAACCGGTTTTATGATTTATATGAAATTTTATCATATCAAACTTTTAAACTACATGCTAAGTGTATTATATATACAATCAAAAGTTATTCTTGATTGATTACGCTCTAAGAAGCGCTCAAGGAAGGACTCTAGGAAGCGCTCAAGGAAGCGCTCTAGGTTTTATAATTAAGAAATATTTGATTGAAAGCGCTCAAAGGAGCACTCTAAGAAACGCTTTAGGAGGTAAAGTACTCTTTAGAGAGCGCTGTATAAAAACAAGCAGTAAAGCGCTTTGGAAAGCACTGTATAAAAAAAAACAAGCAGTTAAGCGCTTTGGAGAGCGCTGTATATAATAAGTTGAAAGATTTAGGTTAGCGGGTTAGTAAAAAACTTTACTGTGTCTTAATACATACCTTTAAGCTTCATCCATAAACATTCAATGAGATAACTGTGAAAGATCTTACGATTTAGAAGGTTCCTCTATTCGATAACGCTTCGCTAATGATATGTGTGTCTGAGTTTGCCCTAGATTGTTTTCGCTGACTCAACAAAATTAGCATGTAAAATCACAGACTTAACAAAATTAACATATGAAACCACAAACTGGAACTAATCCACTTTTTTTCACTATGTTTAATCACATGTTTCCCATGCTTCCCATGCTTATGCTTATGGTGAGGTTGACGTAATGTGGGGAAAACTTACTTTGTAAAACAATTGCTAACCAAGAATTGTATCAAGTACTCAAGTGTGAAATCTACACAGATTTACTGGTTTTATAATCAATGGCAACCAAGGTATGATGCAATGAAACAAACACTAGGAAATGACATCGAATTTTTCCAAGGGTTTCCAGACTTGAGTGAAAAACCAAAGAGGTATCATTCCAAAATATAATAATATCTTGGTGTTCGATGTCTCAAGCCATAAACTGGAACTAATTTACTTTTTTCACACTTAAAAAAATAACTTGCAGTAAAAGTCGACACATTTTAAATTGAACTTGCAGTGTTTTTCAACATATTTCAGTTGGCGAAATGTTTTATACTGTGCAAACACAACTGCACACTACAAATCAAAAATTAGAAGGAAATGTATGGGAAATTTGCGTAAAAAGTCTGCTTTTTTCAAATTGAACTTGCAGTGTTTTTCAGCATATTTGGATTTGCGAAATGTTTGGTACTGTGCATTTGTTGTTGCACGCTATAAAACAAAAAAATTTCAGAATTGGAAAAAAAATATATAATAATAACTTTGTGTTTAACGAGTCAAGCAATCGATAGTCCTGTGTTAACAAAATTGTTTACCTGAGGAAGACATAGAAATACCAGTGTTACAAAAACATGTTTCCGACATTGGTCCTCTTCCGCAGTTCAAGTGACTGAAAGCAAATGGATATTCACAAGGATTATCCAAATTTTATGACTGTTTATAGGAAAGAAACAGCGAAACCCTATGGGTATGTGTTAATCAATAACCAGGAGTGAGAAACAAGTCAAACCATAGACAAAAAAAAGGTTAAAACTACAACACTCAAGAAACAGACTAAGATACAAGCTAAAAAACCAAAAAACTACGAAGCCTAAAGCGAAAAAAAAAAGACAACTAAGAAAGCTAAAAAGTTACCAAAGAAGCAAATGAAGTGAGCGAAAAAACAACCCATCTATAAAGCTAGATTTATCAAAGAGGAACAGATAACAACGATCAGTTAGGAACTTACCACGGTAAACTAAACGAAATAGCTAGACAGTCACATGAACAGAGACAGTCTTATAGAGACAATGGTTTTCATTGCATGAAGAGTTTACCCATAAAATTTTGTGTTTAAAAACCTTACACGTATGATCTATAACTTTTTATGTACGAAGATATGGGTTGTCTATGGAGGGGAATGTAATGTCTTTTATAGAGTAGAGCTTTCTATCTGTTAGTTGACTGTAGATTGACTGGCTAGAAACTCACTTGAAAAACCCCCAAAAGCTTAGATATTTTTTCTCTAGAGGTATTAACGCAAAAGAACCATACTCTAAATGTAGTTCAATGGTAGATCGATGAAATCCTGATAAAACGATGAAATCACGATAAAATCACGATGAAACTACGATGAAACCACGATGAAACTACGATGAAACCACGATGAAACCACGATGAAACCACGATGAAACCCTGATGATACACGCGAGTAAACTAGATAATACACGAGAGTAAATTACATACAATTAAAATGTCATGTAAGTAATACACACTATTAAAATTACATATAGTAGTAGTAATAAACTAAAAATACAACACCCTAATGAAACTTAAACTAGAACGATTCATAAATGTACACTTAAAGCACACATGTAACATCACACGTGAGTAAATAATACACCTGAGTAAACTAGATAATACGCGAGAGTAAATTACATACAATTAAAATGACATGTAAATAATACATACTATTAAAATTAATTTATAATTATTATACGTGAGTAAATAATACATGTAAGTAAACTAGATAATACACACTATTAAAATTACATGCAGTAGTAATAAACTAAAATACAACACCCTGATGAAATCACGATAAAACTCTGATTTATAAATGTACACTTTAAGCACACATGTAACATTACACATGAGTAAAACTATATACACGTGACTAAATTACATATAAAATGTCATGTAAAATTACACACTATTAAAATTACATGCAGTAGTAATAAAACTTTTTTTAAGAAAGCTGACATAGCACAGACACAAATCCACACTACAGGCACACCACAGGCTCACCATAGATACACTACAGGTATACTACAGAAATACTGTATTAGAAATGTTAGGTGGCTATATGGGAGACCCTTCAAAAAATACTGTATTAGAAACTACAGGTATACTACAGAAATACTGGGACCCTTCAAAATACTGTATTAGAAATGCTAGGTAACTATATGGAGAGACCCTTCAAAATACTGTGTTAGAAATGTTAGGTGGTTATATGGAGAGACCCTTCAAATGTATCTCAGTATGTTAGGAGACTATATGGTATGAATGAATCAATCTAATGATTCAATGAAGTGACTATATGGTTATGGTATGACCCTTCGAATGTGTCTCAGCATGTTAGGAGACTATATGGTATGAATGAATCAATCTAATGATTCAATGAGGTGACTTTATGGTTATGGTATGACCCTTCAAATGTGTCTCAGTATGTTAGGAGACTATATGATATGGATGAACCAATCAGAAACGTATGCATATATTACTTGGCAGGGTCCTCTTTTAGGACCCTGCTTATATGATATGTCACGTGGTATGAATTGACCAATCAGAATGCCGTATTTCCTTTTTTCTGCCCATATATGGTATTCAGGGTCCTAGTGAGCCAGAACCCCCATTATCACACTACTATTGGTATGTGTTAATCAATAACCAGGAGTGAGAAACAAGTCAAACCATAGACAAAAAAATTGTTAAAACTACAGCACTCAAGAAACAGACTAAGATACAAGCTAAAAAACCAAAAAACTACGAAGCCTAAAGCGAAAAAAAAAGACAACTAAGAAAGCTAAAAAGTTACTAAAAAGTTCTGTAATTTTCCTTCTTCGCCCACCTCTCACCCCTTCATAATTCCCTCCTATCGTCCATTTCCCGCCCTCTGTACCCCTCTAACCCCTTAACCTTCGAGCTACCCCATCTTTGTCGTCGTTTTCTAGGTCGTCGTTTTCTAGGTCGTCGTTTTCTAGGTCATCGTTTTCTAGGTCGTCGCTTTCTAGGTCATCGTTTTCTAGGTCGTCGTTTTCCAGGTCGTCGTATTCTAGGTCGTCGTTTTCTAGGTCGTCGTTTTCTAGGTCGTCGCTTTCTAGGTCGTCGTTTTCTAGGTCGTTGTTTTCTAGGTCGTCGTTTTCTAGGTCGTTGTTTTCTAGGTCGTCGTTTTCTAGGTCGTTGTTTTCTAGGTCGTCGTTTTCTAGGTCGTAGGTCTTCGTTTCCTAGGTCGTCGTTTTCTAGACACCCGTTTACTTTGGCAGCTGAAGCTGACAGAGTTTTGTGTCAACTTGTGATGTTTTTAAATGTCTTTTTCCACTGGATGTGTAAAATGAAATTCAGCTGCTATCAGGAGTCCTCTGTTATTCATGACTAGTTTGTTTATTGGGTTTTTGGTTGAGGAATACGTCGCTTGTCAAAGTCGGAAATCCGATTTCGGATGGCATCGTTTTTGTTTTCACCTTGCTTGATGCGTAAGAGGATTGCAAAGTCTGAAGCGATACTGGCTTTTCTTGATACCTTTCAGGAGCTGCATCTCGAATGGTAAGCCAGAGAAATTATTGTATTTGATGTTTGTTTTTTTGGATCTAATTTAATGAAGTCGAGCGGAGTTTATGCGGTCATTTAGTTTATGCACGTTTGTAAGATTTGAAACAATGATCTGATCGAGTATCAGGTTTGATATA